AGGCTCACTTCAAGATCATCGATATCAATCAGAATGAGGAACGATCACAAAATTCCGGAAAATGAGTTCCAATCCTCCACTGCATCGGTCGCTGAGGGAGGAAGGGTTGACACGATGCAGTTGTTCTCTAATCCCCGAGGATTCGGAGACAAGCTGGCGCATTCACGACGGTAATTTTTAGGGGTCATCAGTCAAACTCAAGCCTGGATATCCGCGGGGGCGAGTGCCAATGTTTCACTTTGTCGTGTATTAAAGGGTCCCAGGGATGATTCCGTCCCTTCTCTGCCAGAGGTGAGTGTCTTAAGGATTATTTTAACCCTCCATTTACACTTTCACAAAGGAGAAAGTTTGCCAACGACTCAATTTTGATTATTTCGCACGGGCAGGTTGGCTGCCCTTCAAGTCTTATATAGGGCCCTTGGCTGGACCCTCGTGTAGGTAGGTAACGATCTCAAGCATGAGAGGCGCCTAGTAATTTTAATTCACTTTAGTACCTAATTTTTATCTTTTACTTCACTAAAATGCACAAAATAACAATTAATAACAAATAATTAATTTATTTTGCGAGAACTCCAAAATTATGGCTATGCTTCCCTTCATGATTGAATCGGTCATTCTCAAAAAGACTTAAGGTGATTCGTCAAGCTCAAATGACGTGGTCGAAGTGGAGTGCGATATATCGCATCGATTAGGTCAAAAATGTCGGCAGATTTTGAATTTTTAGCAAAAAAAAGGACGATAGCCCCTGCGCATGAGCCTAAATAATCATTCTAAACCCAAAAATCCACATTATTCCGAGAAATGAAAGCAGAATGGTGTTTGGAAAAAAACCTCGCATTCGATTCAGCTATCGATTTCTGTATCGAATGCGAGGTTTTTTCCGAACACTATTCTGCTTTCATTTCTATGAATTTTGCTGATTTTTGGGTTTAGCATGATTCTTTAGGCTCATGCGCAGGGGCTATCGTCCTTTTTTTTGCTAAAAATTCAAAATCTGCCGACATTTTTGACCTAATCGATGCGATATATCGCACTCCACTTCGACCACGTCACTTGAGCTTGACGAATCACCTTAAGCGCCAAAAATGGATCTACGAGGAAAACGGCAATTACCATTTTAATTGACCCGTTCTAAATCTAAGTACTCTTATATAACTTTTAAAGCAAGGAATTAATTAATGACATTCTTAAGTAATCTGCGGTTTAAAACGGATTGTTTAAAGCAGTTTCTACTGTTTTACTTTTACTTTCATATTTGGCGCTTAAGTCTTTTTGAGAATGACCGATTCAACTATGCAGTGTTTTGTCTCTCCTGAAAAATTAGGTCCAATGCACATGTGCGGTTTTTGGGATCATCCATTTACGTAAGTACATCATTAAAATCTTTATCTCTTTTCAGTGAGTTCGAGTTCAAACGAGAAACAGAACGCTATAACGGCGACGGAGGGATAGTTTCCCACCCAGGCGCGAGTACGTCGCGGCTCAGGGAAAGTGTCACGCGCCGACGGGAGGGGAGGGGGCGGGGGGCCTATCAGAGCGGAAAGATTGGGATTGAGTAGCGTGATTGGAGGTGATAACATCTTACGTCACTCACCTGAGCGGCCCGCAGATTTTCCTCGACCGGCCAGTCCCTTCAGAGGCCCTGAACGCACCGGCCGCGGTCGCCTTGTCGTCGTTGATCCCCGGGCAAGAGCCCTGCCCCCCCCCACCCCCCACCCCTTACCGGAGCCGCCCTTGCCGTTGCTGGATTATTTTCCGTATTTTCAGTAGGGTAAAATACGAGGTAATATCCAAGCAGCATAGAGTGACGAAAATGCGGGAATAATTTTGCAATTTATGGCACTATAGAATTGCGATTTTTTAACCATGAAATTGCAATATTTTTACATAATTTGGTCAGTGAATGCCGATTTTAAATGATCAATCAAATTAGCTTTATGTCGGGGGGCAGTAGGCAATAAGCGGGGTTGCAATTTTTCATGAAAAGTAAAATCTTGAAATTTCAGAAAAATAGGAAAACTATTTTTCGAAATGAAATGCATAATAAAATGAAAGGCGACTGGTTTTTGTTTTTTGGCGTTTTTTAGTGTGTGTTGCATACCCAGCCTCTGGAAATAAGTTTCATATCTCTCACAACTTTGTAAAATTTCATAAAAAATAAATACTATTATCATATATTCATAATTTCATGTTTTTCATTTCAAACGCGTGCAACCCTGAATACAATGCAGGACACATTGCAATTCTTATTATGCCTCGTATATAGCTCCTTACACTTTGATGCAACTATTTGCACGCTACGGTTGTGCGTGATGTACGCGTAGAAACTGAAGGGGCACTGACTGCCCTCACATTCTAGAATACATACCTACATCTTTACAGGAAGAGAGTGCTTTTAATACTGTAAGGGTTCATGAATGTCTTGAAAAAGAATGTGTCAATGAACTATAGCTTAATAGTTTAGGTACTCTCTGCTAATAACCTTCCGACAAGAATAAATTCTTAATGATAAAATTTATTTCTATTACCTAGTTTCAAGAATATCTGGTCAAAACTATTCCAAGCCATCGATTTTCAGTGATGGGGATGTTATAAACGTCTGAAATAAATCATTTGTAAAAGCGGCAACAGTTTACTTAGTACTTTAGTTTTTTTTTTTTTTTCAAATGATCGATTTATTCTTCGATAAGTTTGCAACTTTTGGAAGGTTATTTGCGTTAAATAATACAGCACACAAATGATGCTCGCCAAATTATGATGAGCTATGGTAAAGTCATCTCATTTTTATATTTTTTCAACTGGAGGGACCAATTTCCTGACTCCATCACAAATTGAGATAAGAAAATCAGCACAAATTTGCAACGTAGTCTCGCTTTTGGGTGGTCACATGGATTCGCGAAACGTCAAAACCAGCCATAACCAGAGTGTCTGATTACATCTCATGGAGAAATGAGAAAATACATGAAAAGATAATCTCCATCAAATTGGATTGATGCTGCAGAAATTGACATTAAGGCCGCAGCTTGACAACCCTGTCGGAGTGGACTGAGCTACGACTTCGTTTAAACAATAATGTAAAACACCGTCACTAACAGGCTAATTAAAACCTTGAGTCACACTCAGGTTTGTATTCGAGTCATTGCGTTAATCATAGGAATATGCGCTCACAGCGAAAACGGCAAAGAGGGAAGCTCATCTATACTGCCGTGCTAAGGAAGAACGTACGTATGAGCCTTCAGACGTTGCCATATTTTCTTCAATAAAATTATAATTTATATGGGAAAATTTTGAATATTTCCGCCCAATTTTTTCAAACAGTTTTGTTCGCAATTTTATCTAAATCGTCTAAAAGTTTCGAAGAAAAATTGGCATAATTATCTTTAAAGATACATGTTCTATCCGGGGCAATTTGGCGACTCTCGAATGTTCATACGGCGTTCTTCCTTAGCACGGCAGTTTAGAGTAAATACTGAGCAAAGCATAAATCCCAATCTGTTTCAAATTGTCCAAACTATCTCTTCTGGGGGACTTATAGTGCTGGTACATACGAGCAATAGATGCAGATCTACAAATATCGAAAAATGGAATCGCACATCAAATTGAAAAAAAAAAAAAAAATGAATAAAATCGAGAGTCTACACAGCTAAAAATAGAACAAACGTATTCGCGAGCCTGGTTCTTTCACTTCTCACCCGAATCCAAGCTACACGTCATTGACAGCAAAGAGCGGAACATTCCGCGTTCAGGCCTTGCGCCTTCAGTTTTGATGACGCAACACGGACATCCATCAAGTAAAAATAGTTGTATCTCTGCGCCGTCGTTAAAACGCCCATCCTTCCGCTGCTCTATTGTCATGTTGTGTTGGCTCTTGGTTCCGTTTGTTTTATTTGTGAATGCGCTTCAAGGACCACGTAAGCGACACAGTCGAAGATAGGAGAGACCTTTAATGGCCTTTTTTTTTTTTTAAATTGTTCACCCCAATATGAGTGACAACTCATTGGTAGCATACAGAAAATCATCGAGAGTTCACGCCTCATCGCGCCATAGCGCCTTCAGTTTCGAAGACGCAACACGGACATCCATCAAGCACGAATAGTTGTACCTCTGCGCCGTCGTTAAAGCGCCCGTCCTTCCGCTGCTCTATTGTCATGTTGCGTTGTCTGTTGGTTCCGTTTGTTTTATTTGTGAATGCACTTCAAGGACCACGTAAGCGACACAGTCGAAGATAGGAGAGACGTTTAATGGCCTTGTTTTTTAATTTTTCACCTCAATATGAGTGACAACTCATTGGTAGCATACAGAAAATCATCGAGAGTTCACGCCTCATCGCGCCATAGCGCCTTCAGTTTCAAAGACGCAACACGGACATCCATCAAGCACGAATAGTTGTATCTCTGCGCCGTCATTAAAGAGCGTCCTTCCGCTACTCTATTTTCATGTTGTGTTCGCTGTTGGTTCCGTTCATCTTTTTCGAAGTGTTCTTCAAGGGCCACATAAGCAACACAGTCGAAGATAGGAGAGATGTTTAATGGCCGTGTTTTTTTAATTTTTCACCCCACACTGAGTGACAAATCATTGGTAGCATAGAGCGCAGCATTGCGAGTTCACGCCTCGTGCCTCCAGTTTTTTAGACGCAACACGGACATCCGTCAAGCACGAATAATTGCAAAAAAGTGAAATTTAAAAGAAAATGAAATAAAGTCTTTCGTAACTTCAAAAACAACGAAAAAACTTGAGCACCACTTCAAAAACTATCGATATCGATGTATTGAAATACGGGTCGATATGACCCGACTTGGGACTAAGCGTATGGAAAAAGTCTTGGACATACATGTGTTAAGATGGGTTTTTTATTTCTTTTTCAAAAGAAAGTTAACCACTTGTGCTGACCCTTCTGGTCGGCTTTTATACATCATGTAGGTACACAAAGTTAGGATATACCTTGAACTCTGACACTGTTTGAATGTTGGTGACGAATGATTGCGTTGCTTAGCAACAGACATGTTTAACCGGCGGACGTTAAGAACCGAATGTCGAACACCATCCTAAGCGAAGTTTCTGTCGCAATAGAAGTTTAAAATAGGTATTTAGCGATAGTGTTGCAGCGCAACATAAAAAATAGTTAGAGTATGAACATTTAAAATCCAATACATACTTACTAAGGCGAAATAAGTTAATTTAGTACTGCAAGTTTGAGGATCAGCTCCCTACATCGCAACAATGGTAAGTATTCATTATTGATGAAATAAATTTCGCCATGTGCTGATACTACTGAAACTTTACATAATAGATAACTATATGTTAATTCAATTTGACTTTGAATTGTACAGTAATCTAAATTTACTTGACTTTCCTCATTTGTTCAAATCAACAGTAATCAAAAATAAGATAGGTAAGTAAGCGTTTCATGTGTTAATAATTTTATTTTTTTATTTTTTCAAAGGAGTGTGATATTTTCAGCGAGAAAAGCATGATAGTCGTACCGCCAAGTCTACCGAACATTCTTTTGGAATTTACAAAAGCTGCTATCAAGACGCAACCATCAGATTTGCTGGGATGGGCTGCAGCTTACTTTCGAAGCAAAGTCAAAGAGCAATCTTCGAATTAAAATAAGTATCACAGTTGTTATCACTGCTTTCAATTTATAAATACTGCTGCAATTGGGCGAATATTGATCGTCTCTCATGATCAGTTTAACTAAACTATATAATACTTACTCCAAAATATATGGATGATTTTTTTCATTACATTTTATTCGTTTTGTTTTTAAATTTTCATGGTCCATCTCAATTCAGAGTTTCCTTTACGGCGAGAGAACGTAACTAAATTCCGATGCTGCCAGATTTCCCGCCGGAAATTGCAATTTTACGGAGAGAATCTTAGACATTTATAACACCGAAAATTTCACTGATTTTTCCTTTGATATCATGCAAAAATCAGGGAAAAATTTTAAAAAAAAATAGCGCAAGTGCTTTCTTGTAAAAAAATTAGTTGTTCGAGTTATTTTGGCAACCCTGAAATGGAGTTACGTTTCTTCGTTCGGTAAACGACGAATTGCAGCACTCATGATAAAGCAGGATACAATTTTTACTAATGCAACTTAAGGAGCTTAATGTATCCTTCGCGATAGACCATTAAACAAGGTGCGAATTTTAATCATTATGATAGGTACATAATTGACTCGATCCACTACTGTGTGCTATGGAGCACAAATTGATTCAAGTAGACTTATGTTTCTTTCATGAGCGGGAAATTCAAATTGCATTCAAGCAAACTCGGAACCTAGTAGTAATTTTAAGGGGAAGGAAATAAAATGAAACTGATTAAAAACAAGTAACTTAATTTTATTTTTTTAGTTTAATTACATGGGTAAATGAAGAGGGGTTTGCACTGATAATTATAAATTTTATGAATAACAACTGTTATTGACCATTATTGTAAGAAAAAATGGACCCCTTGAAATGAACAGGTACCATGTGGTCAACTGAGAAACAATGTAACTTTCAGACAGAGGGAAGATTTTAGCAAGACTAAAATTGTGGTCTTAATGCTTGCAAATAAGCTGTATTTTAGTATATTCAGACATTTGTAGCACTTTTCTAAGTGACAAAGAACTTATCTGCTGTAAAAAAAAACTTTACCGTGGTGAGTGCAATAGGGTGACAGCTCTTATCTGCAATTGATAGGGGCTAGATAAAAGCATAAAGCAAAGAGGAATAAAAAAGATATTGAGACCTGCATTAAATGGGTGGTATTACTTTCTAATTAGTATTGCGTTCAGTAGGTAATTAAATTATGTCAGTATCCCACCAAAATATCGAGTTTTTTCCTCTTTTTTTTTTGTTTTACAGGAGATGACTATTAATGACTCATTCTTGTCCAACTTATAAGATAGATACTACTGTTCCTCGGCCAATAAAATTTTCGCTTCTTGTTCTGTCAGCAGTGATTTTAGTAAATGATGGATTATTTTTTGATGAGCTACATGCCTGACTGGAGATTGCTCATTTTAATTTGAGTAAACAGTTGCGCAGATAAATGAGTCAGGTGTACAACCAAAAAGCCAAGACCAAAACTTACTAAAATAAAATAAGACAAAAGCTTTTCGAGGACATAAACCTAGTGATAACCGGAAGGCTCTAATGTGTCAATAAGACTTGTTTTTTTTTCAATCAAGTGTGATTTTTAGCTTTTGTTTAACTGACATATCGTAGTCTCCGTTTAGACTTCACGATGAATGATGCTACAATAATTTTGAGCTACATATTCGACAAGCCACTATGATTTGTTGAAAGCTGGGTTATTTGCAACCTGCAATGGTTATAACCATCAAAGAATGTCCCGCTAATGCAGCTGATCTACTCTGGTAGCGAAACAAAGTAAGTCTTTAGTAAACCATTCGGTCTGATTTTGGGAGGTTTTCCTTAGTCTTATCTGTACTTGCACTGTGAAAGTATCTTAATTGAATTTGGGAGAAAAGTTCAAAATTATTCTTTTATAGATGAAAATGTGCAAATTTCGCTTCCTTTTACATATGTTCACGAATATTTTAGAGCCAGACACTAAACTAGATTTTCTCAGGAATTTTTTTTTACTCAGGGCCACTCGGTGAAGATACAGTTAAATTACCAGTATGAGAATTTAAAAAATAAACCTAACAGAGAGATGAACGATAAATTAAATAAAAGTAAAATTGTGATTCCATATCAATCACAAAAAAGATCATTAGTAACATAAGATGGAAGAACAAAAATGTAGGATAGCAAAGGGTAACAGAAAACCGGCATAACTGAATCTGAGGTGTGTTGAGTTATTGCAGAAAAAATAACCTTCATAGTAAAGATAACTTCAAAGAAATGTGGAGTTGCCCAGTCTAAAATATTAAAGATTAAAAACAAATTTCATGTTCATCATTTTTCAAACACATAAATTCAGTCATTGATCATGGATCATTTTTCTTTTTCTTTTTCTTTTTTTTTTTTACACATAAAAGAGTTTGCATTTCAGGCGCACAGTAATTGTATTTTTCACAATGTTTATGCTATTTAAAAAGTTTATCACATGCGTAGTAAAGCAAAAGATATGATCAAAAGAAGCAAACTTCATGCTTTGTAATTCTCTTTCTACGTATATTTGAAGCCTCTTTTTTTAATTGTTCGTGGATTTAGAACGCTTGGTACAATTTTACATCAATTTATACATGTAGAAAAGGTAAAAATGTACAAATTTACACAATTAACAAAAGAGGAATATATCACAAAACGATTTCAAACAGTTGGCCAAATGCTATTCAATACCAAGACTTCAGGACTGGAAGATTTTCTGGGGATTTTTGGTCACATATTTAAGGAAAACTTGAACACTGGGTTTGAAATTAAACACATATAGAATATCCACATGGTCATCCTAACAATAAAGGAGGTACGGTCAAATTTTACAAACTGAAATTGTTATCTTCTATCTGAAAACACTATCGTTTTTTTTCTTCTCAATTAAAAGATTGAGTTAAAAGAGGCTCACAATAAGGTGCCGCCGTAGGATCTATCAGATGGGCAAACAATTTTACGACAGGCATTACCTATAACTTCACTTGACAAACTTCAACGGAAAATTACTTGGAGGCTGAATATCTGAATATCTTACATCAGGAAAAAATGTTGCAACTTTTGTCACTTCTAATTGGCAAAATTTGACAGTAACATACAGAATTAGCTTCTTAACTGATTCAACAATGTAGAATAAATGCAGCAGGGCATAGGTAACTGACACTATTACAGAATTTTGTATCAGAGAATGTACATATAATTGGTGCAATGCTGAAGAAAAGTATTAACCCAATTTTAAAGTCTTCAAGTAGATTGGGGGTTGAGCTTACAAAAACTCGGCTTCATTCTTAACGAAAGCAAAAAAAAAAAAGTTTCCAGAAATTGTGCTATGAAGGTAACAAAGAAACTTTGAAGTGGATTGGACAGCATTGGATTACTGCAGGAAGAAAAAGAATGTTGGAAAAAAAAATAAAAAAAAAGTCTCAAGAAAAAGTTGAAAATTTCTTGTGATCCAGGTGCAATAACAACGAAAGTCCATACTTTCAGACATTAAAACATAAGTCACATCTGGATAGGTCAGAGCAAACATGAAACCTTGCTTTTTCAAACTAAAAATTTCCATCATCAGGTGTACTCCAAAAAGCTGGTACATACACTAATAAATCTTAGGTCTCATTTGAAAAGAAACTTGTTCCATCTTATAACTGTAGTTCGGCGAAAAAGAAAATGTAGCCGAAAGAAAATGCAACTAAAAAATTTGGAGGGGCAAAAACAAACTACTTAGTTAAAATTGTTGAACTTATTTGATTGTTATGACGTGTATGTTCAGTGTGCCATTTCTTATGTTAAGAAAGTCTGTACTTCTACAGAGTAAGGATGTAACATTTAAATATCTTTGAACCATCCTTTCCTTTCACGCGCACTTTGTTATTGTACCTTTAAAACAGAGCACAAGAAGAAGATATTTTAAAAATTAGGAGATACAGGATGCGCTCCAAATAAAACATCTAAAATTCAAGTAACAACATAAACATTTTTAAAACAGTAACAGGATTTAAAAAAAATGAATTGAAAACTTTATGGATTCGAAAATTCTGGACAAATTACTCCAATAGCATGCATTGAAAAGTATATCCACCATCAAAGTTTTTGAGGTTCTTATAAGCACAAAATAACAGAAATTTGGAGACATTCACCCTCAATGGATGGACTTGAACGCATATTTCTGCTACAAAAGGACCCCGCACACCTCTTATGGGAAGCTGCACCACGACCAATTGCCTTCTGACTTATGTTTTTCGATTCTCCTCAAGATGCTGATCAAAAGTTATAATTGCGCCAACTTTCTACGATGCACCGTTTTCGCAAAAAAACTTAAGAGAAGATTCAATTATTCAGCGACTATGAATAAAAAAGAACAAAGCATTTGAGGACAGGCCCGATGTAAATAAGGAAAAAACGTAGCTCGTGTCCGTCTTCTTATCTGTACCTGCCGACTCAGAGGCTATCTCTCTCCCGCAGTCGCCCGGTAGATGTTCAGACTTTCCTGTCCTTATGCTCCTCAAGAATCTGATTTGGATGGTCGAGCAAAATGGCGTGCGGAATCCGAGATAAGACTGCCGCTCGGTGCGGGAGTCCCCATGATTTGTTCACTCGAGTACTGAAATGAGGAATCTTTCTAGCTTTTTATCGCCGAATAATTGAATCTTCTCTTAAGTTTTTTTGCGAAAACGGTGCATCGTAGAAAGTTGGCGCAATTATAACTTTTGATCAGCATCTTGAGGAGAATCGAAAAACATAAGTCAGAAGGCAATCGGTCGTGGTGCAGCTTCCCATAAGAGGTGTGCGGGGTCCTTTAGTACGAAACAAGAGGAGCAAAGTTACTATCTGTGTATAATGCCTGTGAAAACATTAATTATGGCTACAATATCTGTGATGATAAAAAAGATACTTAAATTCAAGGATAACTCCTCTGTGTATACATATAAAAAAAAGGATAGGCATTATTGCCTTACTAGATCCGTCCGATTATTACAAAAATGTTCAATTGAAAGAAATAAGGGATTGAGTTTCTACACGATAATTTTTTTCAAAGGAAGCAGATACAAATGGTAAAAGAGTACATAAAATTTAAAATACAAATGAAGCATTTACACAGGTAAATCGAGTTAGGAGATCTGAAGCAAAATTGAGATATTCAGAAGTACTAAAATTTTAGATTTTGAAACTGGAGAAAATTCTTTCTCGATTTGTTTTTTCATGGTACAAGACTCTTTTGAATGAATTTATGATAGAAAATTGTGCATGAAAAGAGCGTTCCTTACTGATTAACTCACCTAGCCAAAAACTAAAAAGTCAATAAATAAGTCGAAGATAATTGGCAACAAAAAAACAAGATGAGACAAGAAATTGAACGTCACATAACTTGATTGAAACTTAATTAAAACCAGAGAGGTTCTAAAGGTGAGAATTTTAAAGCTTCACCAAAGCACAAAATAATCAAGGTACCTACAAAATAAATTTCGTTTCTTTTCCTTGTTTCATTTTCTTTTTTTTTGCCTCTTTGACTTAGATATTTTTTTTTTAAAAAAAACATGCATCATTACAGTAACTTGTTACTTTTGACATTCAAGGATTTCATTAGAATCGCAGCGCCTGAAGTGTTAACATCTATTTTATTCTTTACAAAATTCTTACAAAAATTAAAATATGAAAGTTTAAAAAATATTAGTGCAATTTTGACTTTTCGCAGCTTTCTCTGCAAGTTTAAATGGCCAGAAATTTTTTTTTAAAAATACCTTGATACTCTGCTCACTTTGAAATGTTATGGACTGAATTGGAGAAATTTAATGGGACCATTCTATTAAAAAAAAAATTAACAACTGCAAACATTTCGAGGCTTTGAAATATTGATGAATCCTTGAACTGTGCAAGCTACTGATAAAAATTGAGAATAAAATTATGACAGTTAAAAATATGACAAAAGCAGAACAATATTTCAATAAATAATAAAAATAAAGAAGATAAGTAAATAAATAATAATAACTATTTGGGGATAATATATACTTTCACAGTACATAAAATGTTGTGCAAATTTTCACCTAGTTAGAAAAATAAATTATGTATCAAAACTGAATTAAAAGTGATCCATTGAATTTCTTTGTACAGCTAGGTTTCCACAATCAAATTAAGTCCATCACAATGGGTCACCGACAACTGTGAATGATATATAAAATACATTACCAGGATGTTTAGGCTTGAAGAAAAAAAAATTATTCCAATTCTCTGCCTTTTCCTGTTTGAGGTGCTGGAAATTTCCTAACTTTTCCGCTAAACCTTACCAATGGGCACAAAAAATGAAGAGCAACTTCTGATTTATTTGACACCTTCCTACTCAAGCCAGTCAAAAAGTGAAGTTTTGTTGTTTATCGGTGGAGCCACGTAAATCGGGTCTCAAATTTTTTGATGAGATAATCTTTTTTAGTTTTTTTTTTTTTGTGTGTTGTTTTGACCAAGCAGAAACATGAACGCAAAAATTGTTGGCAAGGAATGTATTAAAATACAGAGAAGAAGTGCACAGCAAGCAATATTTGAGTGCATAAACTTGGACATTATTCCTCGACGATTTTGACTAAATTTTTTACCCTTCACTTTTCCCTATTTACGGCCCTGTAAACATCCTGGTGACATGATTATAAACATACTGCTTATAAACTGTTCGTTGTCATTTTTCACTGGAAAAAATTAAGGAAAAAAAGGGAAAGTTATAAATCACTTGACTGAAAAAGATAGCTGCATTACAAAGAAAACGCATGGACCATAAGTAATTAAATTTGAATTCATAAAGTAAAATCAACAACTCTCCGCCAAGAAATTCAAATGTCTGATTGTCTGATCAACCTTAAAATGACAAAGAAGAAAATACAAGTGAACCATACATAGTTTTGCTGCAAGCTTGCATTGAGTAAAAATACACAGAATATCCAAGAAATAAAGCAATGGTTACAGTTACTATCCTCCTCATTTATTTCATTAATTTTTTTGTTTTTTTTCCAGTTGGAGAAGCAATGATGCGAAAACAAACAATCATAAGGAAGAAAATTAATTATTACACTTAAACATGTAAGACTCCAATATTCAATTGAATGCGTCAAACTATTTCTCACAATAATAATAAAATAATGAAAAAAAGGAGAAGTCAAAATCTGCGTTATTCGGAGTTCATTTTTTAATCATTTGCCCTCTAATTCGAAAAAAATCTTCTTGAGTGGGATAGTAAAAACCAAAAAAATGAGTTGTCATTAGGAAGATCTAATTATAAAAAAAATCAAGAGGAAAACAGCCCGGCAAAACATAGTCATGGTTACCAGAGAGAGAGAGAAATTCTACTTCAGTTTTTGATATTCAGCTTTGATGAGATAAAATAATACAATTTAATCAAAATGAAGCGACATGTCCATGCAATGTGAAGAACTCTCAACACTTCAACTTTTCTGATTGTGGTTAAAATGAATCTTTTAGACTGAAGATTTAGAGAGAACCTTAATATTTAATGTACTCATTTATTTGCTTTTATTTTAGAGATCATGTTGAAAAAAACTTGCGTCCTTTATTCAGTAAAAGGATGGAAATAAATAATTGAAAAACTACCAAAAAGCGAGACATTTAGGCTTATATTTCTCATCGTTCTTTAAATAACTCCATTCCCTAGGGAGCCCCATACCAGATAAGCTCTACTTACATTACGATTAAGGAAGATTTAAGGAAATACCTAACGGGGCATCTTAAAAAGGACTATTTTTACGAATCTTGAGTAACTTTCAACAATATAACTTTGGAAATAGACCTTCCGGAGGGATTACAATGATTTGCCACTGCAAAAAAATAAAAAATTCGAAGAAAGAAATGTCATGATTGAGACAGACTTTAAGGTAGGTACAAACCTACCTTGAAATTTTCAAAACTGGCAAAATATAACCTTCCGTATTTTTGATTTACATAGAGGCACATTATTATAATCTCAAGGAAGGGTCTTTTTCCAAAGTTAAACCACTGATTTGCTGAAGATTCCTTAAAATTATCCTTTGTATGATGCTAAATCAAAGATTTCCCTAAAGCTGTCTTAATCACCATGTAAACCATATCGATGGTGAAACTACCAGATGACATATCTTGTTTGAGGTGTTTAAAAATCTTCGCTCCCATTTTATTTTCTTGAAGGAAACCAAATCAATAACATTTCTTGAAAATTTCACAGAGGTTTCTTTGCATGAAGAGAAAAAAACACAGAAGTTTTCAAGAATTGATATTAAATAGTTTTTCGTTTCAAAATAAAGTATGATGGGAAGTCTACAACATCGTAAACCGAGATACTAGGTCTGGCAATTTCACCGTCGACATGCTGCTTCCTAGGGAAAGGAGCTATTTCGGGAACAACTTTGTATACAGGGTGCTTGAGTTGGTTTTTACTTCCATCCAGTTTATAGTGAGCTGAATTATTGAGACTTCTTTTGGTTCACTAAGCCTAAATAAATATAAATAACAATTAAACTTCTACCACTACTAATCACATAGTTAAAGTTTAAACATTCATAAAAAAAAAGAGAAAAAAAGTACAGAAACAAAATGGGTTTCAAGATTTTATGAATACAACACTCGGCGGGATTGTATTCAGTTGAGACGTATAAATCCATGTTGGTGAAAATGTTTAATTTGCTGTCCTTCCTTTAGCAAATTATGGCATCAAATAATGAATCATTCCTTTATTGTTATCTTCGTTTGGAAGTTTTCTACCACTGTAACATAAAAAATCCATCTCTATTAGAATCCAATATCATGAAAGAAGTTCTAGCAGCAAAGAAAATCTTCAGCTTCAGTTCCAAAAAAAAAAAAAACAAGCAGTGAACTCCAACACAATGTGTTGATAAGGCGCGTCATTAACTCGCACATATCAACCCCTTTAGTTTTCATTTACAGAGATTTCAAAATAGGCAAACAGCATAAAAAGAGAATTCACGATCCAACACTGCGAGGTCAAAGACGCACCTTGACGAGACCGTGTATTGTGAAAGTAGAAAGCTATTCGATCGAATTTAAGTTTTTTGATCTGCCTCAAGCAAAATCTTATCAGATTCTTGAAGAAAAGTGCTACGGAATAATTTAAGCGAAGAAAGGAAAAATTCTGTCGAACTCCTAGAAGATAAAGTCGATTTAAAGGTATTTTGGGGCTAAAATACCCAAATCACCGGTAGTAAAAATCCCGTTATATTATTGAAAAGAAATTGACTCGATATAAATGCAATTGCATTAAATACGTCTTGATTTTGTTATTTTAAACGTCTTTCCATGCAAAGAAGTTCAACCATGTCGTTGCTTTATTCATTCATGAATTGAAAGTAAGCAATCTACATCCCGAAAATCTACTGATTTGCCGTAAAAAATTGCAGAAACTTGATATACCAGGTCGATGCACCCACTCGTTGAATTTACCAACCAATTTTGTGAGTGCAAATGTGTAAGAATCAATAT